TTGAATTGAGAAAGCTCCTCGGATGAGGAGCGAAACGTCTTCTGTTACAAATAAAGTCCAGTTGTTTTTGTATTGAACGCTTTTTGAATTCATCATGTCCTGGATGACTGAGAATCTTCACCAGCATCAGGACCTATAGGAGAAAGCCAAGGGGGAGGGCCTGGAGGTGAGAAACAAGAGAACATCTATTGGTGAGGAACTAGAGGAGAGGACCTGAAGGCGGGCATCAATAAGAGGGGATTCACATTAGAAAAGTAAGTATACCTGAAATTAGGGACAGCTCTTCCTTCTGTTTCAACACTTCTGCAGGAAGTGTTGTGCTTCAAGGAGATGCTGCTAGACAAGACAGGACACACTGTTTACTCTTGGTGCTCAGATCTAGTGCCTGTTGCCTCAACACTGTGCAAATATTGATTAAGAAACTTGTGATCAAGGAGTATGGAGTGACTGTCAGTTTTCCCAGACTAGGAACAAAGTGCAGTCAGTGATATTCTGTGATATTTGCATCTCTCTTTTAAGCCTCATGTCAAAAACTTGGTAAAGAAACTGAAAGTTAAACTGGGTTTCTTTTTCAGAAACAGATCCTGTCTAACCCTGAATGTTAGGAAACACCTTGTATCTGTGACTTTCCTTCCCTCCATTGATTACGGTGACATTATTTACATGAACACTCCTACAAGAACCCTGCAGATGTTGGATGCTGCAGATGTTGGATGCTGTCTATCATGGTGCACTAAGATTCATAACTGGCTCAGAAACTACCGTACCCACCACTGCACCCAGTATTCACTGGTTAACTGGTCACCATTAACTTCACACAGACTCTCCCACTGGTACATTTTCATCTTTAAATCTCTTCTTGGTCTGCTGCCTTCATACATCTCCTCCTACATGTCTCTGTGTGAGTGCAGCTACAGCGTGCACTCTCAGGACATCATTACCTGCAGTGTTCCCTCAGTGAGGACTGAACTAGACAAAAGGACCTTCTCCTACTCCGCTCCTGTTTCCTGGAATATCTTGTAAAAAGATCTGAAGCTCTTGACCATGACCTCTTTTAGATCTTAGATCCTTATTTACTGTTTTTTTATATTTTATGTTTTGCTATTATTATAGCGGGAGCTGATGCGGCCCCCAAGTTATTGCAGCTAGCTGTTGCTAGCTGTTGACCTTAGGCCTCATCTCGGACCCCAGGTCTGCCTCCAGCCCACGTTGCGCCCCTGGCTCGGACCTCCCTCAGAGGCAGCAACTCACACTATCTCCATAAATCAAGGAAACGTAAATTAAGTTTTACCAATTGTATTAAATCAAGGCAGGAGAAGGTTACAGTTTACAGTGCTGGCCAGTCCGATACATGACGCGGGATCCTGCACCAGACGGGCCGGATGTCCCATGGCATTACAGATATATAGGGCCTAGACTCCTCCTTCACTGAAGGGGAGCAAAGCCTATCACGTGGCTAAGAGGCTGGGCTAGGTGTGATCTCATTGGACCTTATGTGATTTGACGTGTCAGGAAAAATTATACAGGTGCAGAAAAAAACTTTCTACGTGATGCAGCGAGCCAATAAAAACTCTATTCCTTGACAGATATTGAATCCCTGGGAGACTCTTTTTAGAATTGCTGGCCCCGTTTAAACCAGTTAGAACTAGGGATGCACCGATCCACTTTTTTTACTTCCGATCCAATCCCAATACCTAAGTCTGAATATCGGCCGATACTGATCCAGTTCAGATATCATGATCATCATTGATTTTATATGAGGCTGTAATAATCTCCTCTCAAATACAATTTGTACAAATATATGCATGCATGTCCAAAAAGGCAACTTGAGGTAAGTTTTATTATTGTTGGATAAGTTTTAAAGTTAGAATTAAATTCTAACACAAAACATGTTTCTTTTTATTCCTAGCTTTAAAGTGGATATTAAAGTGATTAATTTAAGTGATTGTTTAAAGTTATTTTATATATTTTTTTAAATAAGAGGCAGATATAATAATTTTTTTCTTCTTTCTGCACTCTTTTCATTCAATGTTTTCTTTTTGATGATTTTTTTAAATTTTGTTTCTTTTAAATGAATGAATAAATGAATTAAATTAAATAAAATATTAAATGGCTTCAAACATCTGCTAAGTTCATGGCATAAACCAACAGACATGTTCCTGTTTTTAGTATTTTACATCACTTTATAATGTAGCTGTTTTTTGTTTTTAATATATATAATTTTCAAATCACATGTTTTTTTTTGTGATTGTCTACTGTTGTACTGATAAATATCTCCTGCAGGGTAAACTATATCTTGGCTGCAAGTATCAATCTGTGAAATCCTTCGTTTTCTACAACTGATAGGAGTTGGACATTAATTATGAAGTTTATCAACTTCTCGTTAAACATTTGAGCTCCATG